TTTTTTACGGGAAAAGGGTGAAGTTCCAAATTCTGAAAACTTGGTTCCAAATAGTTCCAAATTAGTTCCAAAATATTAGTAAAGGTTTGAAGTCGATAGGACAAAGTGGGGGGCTGCGTGAAGTTGGCCCCCCCAACCGAAAATCTCTTATTTCGAGAAAAGGGTGAAGTTCCAAATTATAAAAAGTTGGTTCCAAATAGTTCCAAATTAGTTCCAAAATATTGGTGAAGGTTTGAATTCGATAGGACAAAGTGGGGGGGGGCCAACTTCACGGACGTCATATTTCGTAGACATGAGTGTTCGTTCGGGCAACTAACCCGAAAATCACCAAATGACATATTTTGCACTCAATACATTTTGATTTCATATCACTTTTAGTTTTATTTACTTTTTTTTTTTTAATAAATAACTTCTAAATGACATGATTAACTACGTATTAATGAATCATATACCATTTTATTTCCACCAAATATAATTCAAAAATAGAAAGTACTTAGTTATAAGTAGTAAAATTAATTACTTTTATTAAACGGCAAACGGAAAATAACTATCCTACAATCGTGTTTAATCAAAATATCTCAATATAAATTATTAATTAGATTGACTTTTTTCAACTTCATCTATTAAATATGATTTTAATTGTTTAAAATTGTTTAAACAGCACAAAAAAAAAATAATAAATATGTAAATATTTTAAAACAAAAACCGTGTTTTAAATAATAAAATATTGGTTTTTTTTTTTTAAAAAAACTTGTCTTTTTCCAACTCATATTTTAATACAATTATAAGTATGACATATATAGATATATAGGTCTATTGTACATGTATATATTTATTAGAATGATATTTTAACAATAAATTAGTTGTTTTTTAATCATATTTTCATAAAAACTGAATACTTCTCTAGTAGCTGCAAAGCATTTGTCCATACATTGTAAATATATTGAATGTGAAAATTTTCCAGTAGTGTGTGATGTTAATAACTGTCTGGATTCAGAAGAAGAAAACACTAAAGTAAAATAAGCAACTGATGACTGAAAAAGAAACAATTATTTTATTATTAAGCCTAGTTTATTAAATTCCACTGTTCGTACATTTATTTGTAATTCATCTGGATTGAGAATAATTTCTTCCGAATCGGTGATTGCACAACTGATTGCTGCAAACAAATGGTGCATACTAATACCAGAGTCCATTAATGCCAAGCAAGAAGCATTCAAACAAGTCGCTAGTAACTAAAAATAAATAATAGTATAAAGAAATTATCTACTGAACTATGAAGCCTACATACATTTCCTCTGTCTTGCATTTCTTGGACTGTAACAGCGATTGATGTCCTTGGATATTGTTCAACAATCAAAGCTTCTTCACATGTTGATTGCATGATTCCTTCCAACATTTTATCATGAACAGCTACAAAAGAGAAAATACTAAAATGATTATAAATTATAAAATGCTTACTAATATTAAGTATGTATTTGTTCATACTAATACTGCCAGTTTTTCTCCTAAAAGTTACATCCACGGTACCACGATCATATAAGCATTTGCTAGACTTGGGTTCGAATGGTCCAACAACTGACACAGCCACTGTAGTTTTACCTGAAAAATATTTACTAAATAAGAGAACTGCTCAAGAGATAATATTTAAAATGCGGGTACATTGAGACACATATGCCGATCCATCGGAATTGCCTATAAACCCTAATCGGCATTTGAGAAATTCTTCATTCATATTTTTCTTTTTAAATATATTTAAAATTATTGATGAAAAGATATTATTTTCACTTGAAGTTCGAATAAGTTTTATTATTTTAAACAATAATACCCAAACGGTTGAGTATAAATATTAACCTAAAATGTGAGTTACAGTGGTACATTTGATGGACCTATTGTATGGTTCATATTGATAAAATATAATTTTTAACGATAAGATAGTTTTGTTCGTAAGTCAAAAATAAATTGTCAATTGTCAATTTTTTTGTTTGATATACTAACTGCATTTGAATTATTGTAATCACATTTAATCATTTTACAATGTTGATACAAAGGCAATTGTCTTTAAATATTTTTAAATTTCATTTTTTAATGTACATACTATTAAACATTTAGACATTAAATTACTATTAAACTTTTTTTTTTTTTCAAAAGTATGTTTTAACATTTCCTTAGTTGCTCAATATTATCTTACAGTAAATATATTAATTTAATCAATATTATCTCTCAGAATAATGACAGAAACTAATAAAGGATTGTCAAAAGTACATATCTCAACAATTGAATGGGATATGATGGATAAAACTAAATTTTTACCTTTAAGTATGTTAAGTTCATTTTGTGTACGTTGTTCTCTTTATCCGCTGACATTAATCAAAACAAGACTTCAAATTCAAAAACATGGAGAAATGTATAAAGGTAATAAATCAATTACATCTTAGATATATAAATATAGATACTTCATAGATTTATAAAAAACAATTAGTAATAATTTTTTTTTAATTTTTATTAATTAAAAAATGAATTAATTCATATTTATTTAAATAAATTGGTTAGCTATTGATTTTTAATAATTTTTTTATCTAGTTTTAATTTATTTTAAAATTTAAACTAATAATTCTTCATTTTATATTTAATTTTTCTTTTTTAGGATTACTGGATGCAGCTAATCGTATTTATCATACAGAAGGTATGTCAGGACTTTATCGTGGTTTTTGGGTAAGTTCTGCTCAAGTTTTATCAGGTGCAGCCTATATTGGTGCATATGAACAAACTAGACATATGACAGCTCCATACTTACAACAATGGCCTGAAATTAGATCAATGGTCGCTGGAGGTGTAGCATCTGTTTTTGGTCAAACAATAATTGTACCTTTTGACGTAGTTAGTCAACATTTGATGATGCTCGGTTTGTCAACTAACAATGGAGAGAAGAATAAAATTGTAAGTCTTTAGATCAAAATTTATTTTAGTATCTTTAAGTGTATAATATATGCAATTGACCTACAGTAATAAAAACATATATGTATTATTTTATAAATAACTATTCTGTTAAATATGTTGATACTCATGGGTAGTATTTTATATATATATTGAAATACTTCTTATTATTCTTATTTTTTCATTAGAATTCAATGTAATGTTAATTGATTCTTAAATGCTCTTGAAATAATGATAAAATATTTATAAAATGCTTTTTATTTATTTTACAATTTTTTATTTTTATTTTGTCTAATATAATTAAAAATTATATGCTATTTAACTAAATTAAAATTTTTTAAATCTTTTCATACATATTAAAATTATGAAATTCATTAAATAAATTATGTTGTTATCTAATTTATAATTAACTATAAGCCATCATTTTTTTTATTATAATTTTATTGGTTATTTTAAGTCCCCACTTTAGATATAATGTACTTTTGACCTTTAATTTTACATTATTAAAATAAGTAAAATGGTAATCTTGGTATTAATATTTTTAAGTTTAAAGTTCCAAATTTTATGTATCAATTTGCTCGTGAAATTTACATTTTAAAGCAATTATATAATTATTTAAATGTTTTAAAACATTATCTACTTATTTTGAGTTTGACTAATATATTGACCATAAATTAAAATAATCTATGTAATATTTATATACACAACCGAATTATTTAAACTGTTGATTTAATCATGATCAATATTATTTTTATTTATATTTTAAAATTAATTAATTTATAGTGAAAATCTATGATTAAACTACAATATTAGTATTGTTATCAATTATTTATAAAGTTATATATAATATCAACTACAGTATAACTTACTTAAGAAGCTCTTTAAGGGACTAGATCACTAGAGCGTCTTAAGTAGGAAAGCATCTTATGCGAGTATAGAAAAAAAATTAATAAACTTTTTATTTTTTATTATTGAACATAATTTAATAGGTATGACATTTATAAATTATAATTAAGTGTATTTTTTGTTATTCAATTTAAATAAAAAAGAAATAAATACAAATTTTATTTTATTACATATTAAAAAATGATCTACTTTTGTTTGCTTGAGATTCTGACAGTGTGTTTCAGCAAGAAAGTTTTGATTTTGTTTACATAACCCAACATTTCTTTGGCATTCTCTAAAGAGGATAATAGTTTTTGAATTTTTGATAGATATTGCAAACCAGCAGTAATTGTAGTTAATACTGGATCTTCTCTTTGATTGTCTTAAATCTCATAATACGATGAAATATGTATCTACTTGTCAAAAGACTGTAGGTATTATAATAAAATAAAACCTAAAAGTACTCGTAAATTAGTAAAATTTCTATTTTTATTTTCACACAATTACTGAACCTTAGAGTAATCTGCTGAACAAAAGAACTTATTATCCGAGTGCTTAAGTAAACTGAGTGCTTAATAGGTAGTTTTTGCATTGACTAATTATGGGACAGATGAAAAACAGTGAATTTTACTGTATTTTGAATCTTAGGTTTTATATGAAACTATATTCTATATATTGTATACGTAAAAACTATTTATTGTTGTTTCTTAATTATTTATTAATTAAACTTTTAATATATAAATAATATATGTTATAAAAATAATTATATCAACTTATAATTGAATTATCATCTGTCCATAATATTTAGTAAATACATTAATAATATTAGTTTTGACTTTAATTTATATCTTCTTGGATTTATTAGGCCCTCATACCACTCAATCAGATAATGTAGTCTCCATCCTTCAGTTAGAAGCACCTTCCGTTTTACATACTTTTTTATAACATATTCCCAGTGTATCCTTGGTCTTCCCAAAGGTATTTTCTCTGGAGTGTTTAATCTTTCTCATAGCATTAAATTTTGGTTCTACCAGACTACAAGAATGGCCATTCATAGTCATCCCCTTCTGATAACTATTGATATATCCACATCACTATATATACTGTATATAATACAATTTCCAGTTCTATATATTTTTTTCTCTACTTAAATTATTGAACAGTATATACACTGTATATATTATTTTTCAATTATAAATAATTTATACTTCTCTGAATTCAGAAGAAATAAGACTTTTTATTACAATTTAAATTAAATATTTATTTAGTTTTTTTTTTCCAGATATATTTTCGTCCACTTGGAATTCATTTAGATATTTCTAAATCAAAATTTCACACCACATTAGATATTACTCGATGTGTATATCAACAAGATGGTTTTAAAGGGTTTTATAGAGGATATGTTGCTTCAGTTTGTACTTATGCACCCAATAGTGCATTATGGTGGAGTTTTTATACAATATTTCAAAGTATTTAATACTGTTTATTACACTACACAATTATTTAATCTACTTAGGTCCACTGACTATTTTCTTGATAAACAAAAATATATTAAACCACAGAATAGATTAATATTTTCTATTTATAGACTTTAACTTACAATCTTATTGCCTTTTTCATCAATATATTGATATTTGGTCCTGTCCTATTATCAGGATAACTACAATACCATAATCCCATTATTAGGACTATCTTAAAATTATATTTTAGTCCCATGAAATAAGATACACTATACCGGGTTTGATCCATTTTATCAGTGGTAAACTATTTATATGTTGGTCAGTTTGTCAGGTTTTGGACTGACTTCTTGTTCTGACTGAATTCTTGTTTGTCTTAGAGAATCTTAAAATTATTGACCTTTAATACTCATTATTCCCATAAATACTACATCAATATATTCATTTTTATTACCAGACTTTTTTTTTATTTAATAATTATTTTTAATTATATTACTCTTAGGGATACGTCAGTTATAACTATACAATTAATTTTTTTGAAGATTTTTATTTAATTTTAATAATTATAAATATTTAAGGTACAGAAAATATATATTTTTAAAACTCCATATCATGGTGCTTATTTGTTTTATGTACTTATATTAGTTTGTTTTGCATAGTTTTAATTATAAGCAAAAGTTAGTTTAGTTCTTGTTTTTTCAAACTGAAAGTTTTTATATTTTAATTCAACAGTAATGTAATTTTTATTTTTGATTAAGATTTCAATTTTAAATATATAAATTAATTGAAAAACTTTTTCTTTTTTTTTTTAAATAGGATTAAATTAATGAATTTGAATAATATCAGTTGGACCTAAATTGAAGTAGTCAATGAATAATGCAATTATATTTCGTGTTTATTTGTTCACATTTAGAACAACTTGAGAAAAAATGTCCAGTAAATACTTCACTTTTATTTTTGCAAAGTATATCGGGAGTTTTGGCTGGATTTACTACAACATTAATCACTAATCCAATGGACACAATTAGAGCTCGTTTACAAGTAAATATAGACAAGAAAAATTATAAACTGCGTTTTCACTATTACTGAAATTAGCTTTTAGCATTTTTTCAAACAAAATGTTATTATATTTTATAAAAGTATTTATAAATAGTTTTAAATTAATTTCTAGGTTCAAAGAACTAATTCTATCATTCAGACATTTAATGTCCTTTGGAAAGAGGAAGGCGTGTTGATGTTCACTAAAGGACTTTCTGCTAGATTAGTCCAGTCAATTTGTTTTAGTTTTACAATTATCTTAGGTTATGAGAGTATCAAGAGAGTCAGTGTACTTCAAGAGTATAAAGATCAGGTGCGATGGTAATATGGATCAAATAAGAATATTCCGATAAGAATTTTTTTTTTAATAAACCACTTGATGACTTCTTATATTATTGATTCACATTTGTTATGTTTACGTTTATGCTACTATACAAATAAATTATGACATATAGTTTTCAATTATTTTTATTTGTAACCAGTAGTTGTGTTATTTCTATGTTAATAAATATATTGTATTGTTCTAAAAATATATCGCCATTGAAATGCAACTGAATTTATTTTGCTTCTATAATCTTAAAGTATTTTCATATTTGTATCACCTAAATTTTGGACAATTATACAAGTTTATGCTCATTAAAAATTACAATTATTGATGTTGGTTATAACAGATATTATTTCCTACTTGGTACTAGTATTGTAAAAAATATGTTGTCCAAAATCAAATTATTACAAATCATTATAATCATATTAATAACATAATGTTAATGTCTATATTATTTATATATTTCAAATAGTTTTCCATATTATTTTTGTTGGAAAACCAATAATTTTTAATATTGCCGCTGTTCGTCATGTGAATGTTATTTTCATGAGGATAATATAGGGAACGTGGATTCATATACGAATGTATAGGTTTTGTGAACACCATTATTTGTTGGTACTCCAAAACGAATCGTGTGAATATGTGTTCATATATGGATCTTTTTTGTACGTTTCTGAATAGACCCCCAGGTTACGATCGCATTACTAACTTCATGGCAGAAGACTTGTTTTTATGAATATTTAATTAAATTTTTTGTTAAGTGTTGGACATTTTCCACTCAACTGGAAGATAACAACATCAAAACAAATCCGGATAGCTATAGACTGATAAGCTTACTAACCATGGATATAGATATTGACGATTGCACCACGGTTTAAAATATTGACCTCTCTACCAAATGTTTTTGGGTACACCCTCAGTAAAGCCACAATAAAAAAAAAATGTTTTACTAACAAATATTTTTACAAAATTAACAGTTTTATAATTAATACATGGTTAAACAATTTTAAACTTACTCTAAAAAAATTTATATCACATATAGAAAATCTAACAGATAATAAATAAATTAAGTATACTTATAAATTAATCAAAATATAAGTTAATTTAATAATGTATTTTAAATCAGTCTTACTGAATATTTATTCTAAATCAATAAAAAAAAAAAAATAGTGATGAATAAATAGCAATTACATAATTATAATAAATAATAATACAAATTTTCTAAATAACTATTTTAATAATAGTATTAAATATTTAGTGATAGGATTCAAATTGAAACACATTAAAATGTTAATGAACTATCACACTCGTCAGCTGTATGTCCAAACACTAAAAAGAAGACAATAATTATACTTATTTAATCATACTTCAGAAATAAACACTATAACATGAATAAAAATACATATTCAAACAATAATTTGATATCTTGAAAATAACTTACTATCACAGCAAACACAAAATGGTTCTTCAGCAGTTTTATTTGAACCATCATTAACTACTCTTCGTTTCCTTTGCACTTCAGGAGATTTTGGCTTTTCGGGGCAATCTTCATTGTCATGAGAATCAAATATTTCACATTGTTCACAATAAAGTCGAGTAGTCCTTAAGCGTACTTTTTTGTTTTGATCTCTGAAAGTAATTTCAACAACTATATTTTATAATATAATATTTACAGTCATGGTGCCATGAGAGGGGAGTAATGGAGCGCACTTGCATACCCTTGGATTTAATAAAAAAATTTATTATAGAGGCTATTATTATCATAATTGGATTTTCTAGTACTTTCTAACCTAACCTGCATTATTTTGTAGACATTAGGAAAAAAAAAAGGAAATCATTTTGTACTGTCATATAATTTAAAAAAATATTCCTATGTATTTAACTCAAATCAGCGTATATGTATGTATGATATGTATATATCATATAATCATATGTATGATGCACCCCCTGACGAAATTTCTGGCAGCGCCTAAGTTTACAATACATATTTTAATAAAATTAAGTCATTCAATTACACATATTTGTGGTTTATATTGGATTTTTTTTTTCTAGTTACCAAAGCCAATATTACCAAATATTATTAAATATTACAAAATCTATATTAATAAAAAAATAAAATAAATGGTTTTTTATTTCTTATTATGAGACCCAGAGTTAATGAAAGTAATTATTTTCGAATAATTGCATATTTTTTACTATAGTATACTATAAATATTTAATAATATAATTGAAATGTATTTAAAAACGGTGATAATTTTTTTAAACAATAATTTCATTTTTATTTTAAACAGATCAGAGAAAATAAATGTTTGCACTATTTTAAATCATAAAATGCAATAAAACTTATTTTAATAGTTAAAGCAAGGCAAACTATGTAACTATTTGATATTTTTATAGACTTTTATATAATGAGATTTAAAAAGACAGTTTTTAGATATCATTAAATTTAAAATCTAAAATAATGCACATGAAATTTGTTGTATATTTAACAGCCCATTATATTAAATATGTTTCAGATACAAATTAGATAATATTTTTATTAGATTAAAATCACTATAATACAAATTATACTTTAACATAATCAAGACCTTATTTTAATACTTAAAGATCTAAAACATGTAATCAAGCACATGAGCAAAAGATCTATTTATTTTTTAATTTTAAATAAAAACTGAAAAATGTAGATTATCCTAATAAGAATTAATTGGAAATTTACAGATACTTACAATCCACAATCCAAAATTTGTTTTTCTAGTGCCTCAATTTTAAATTTGTTTTCTGACACCTTAGTATGCAGACCAGCGATTATGTTGTTCAACAAGTTTATTTGCCAATCTTTTTCTTCCAGTATTTTTTCAGTTTCTGAACATGCATATTGAAAATGAAAGATATAATTAACATGTTTTCAATAAGTTAAAAATAATTTTTACTTTTTTATTATTATTAAAAACTAACCAGATTTATCATCTGTTTTTTCATTTTTGACTTTAGCAGGTTGAGAGGATTCATAATTAACCACCAACCTTTGAAGAACTTTTTTATCATTTTCTAAACTTTCACATTTCGTTTTAAACTCAGAATAACGTTCATTTTCAGTTTTAAGTTTGTAAATCTAAAATTTTAAATTATTTACTAAAAATACATAAGTGTTTAGTATTACAATAAATATGTATTAATTTTATTTAAATTAACCTCTTGCTTTAATGATAGATTTTCACATTCCTTAAGTTTGACATTATTTTTTGTTGCTTTGTATAGTTTTTGATAATCTTCTTTTGAAACACCATTTGGATTTTTCTCACTAATATTAAAAAAAAAAAATAACAAAAAAACTATATTTGTAATACCACCATATTTTAAATAGTATAATATACTTAATAATAAAAAAATCGGTATTAATGAAGGGGAAGTTATGTTTCAAAAATATAAGAAATATTTTACTAGAACCAGAAATTTACTAATTTGCACAATTAAATATAGAAATATATACAATACTTAAACATACATTTCAAATTCAGAAACATCAGTTTCCATGACTGCCGATAATTTTTTATGTAATCCTAATATAATAGAATTCAATATTTTAATTTCTTCGTTTTTTTCTGCTAATAAATGAACATCTACAAAGAAGATTTGGTCAAAAAATTGTTAGTAGAAACAAATAAATTATTTAACATATTATTACCACTTTTATCAGGTTTGTCTTGAATAATATTATTCTTACATTTCTCCATATCCTTTAACTTCCAAGAATTTAACTAATTGAAATATAATAACAAATTAACAGTTTAGTTAATTTTATTATTTTTTATACATATAAATAAATAGTGCACATAATTTCTAAAGATTAATATTATCTAGTAAAATTATAATATATAATTTAGAAATATTAAACTATTTTATCTATGTTTTGATAAACAGAATATTTCATTAATAAAGAAATATTATACATACTAACCTCTGTTTGTAGTACTAAAATTTGATTTTCTTTAATTTTTAACAAACTATAGGTTTCTTCATATTTTTTTTCTAAGTTATATTTTTCTTGACTGTTAAACAAATTAAAAAAATAATTATGTGAAATTTTTTTTTTTTTGAAAGAGGTTTTGGTAACTTAGGCAATCAGCCCCCGTATAAGTTCAATTAGATGTAACTCTTGTTGGCATAGTTCATTTATAAGTGTTAGTTATATATAAGAGTTTCTCTTAAGATGATAGCCTCACTTGGAAAGTTAGACCACCAGTGCCAAGTTTTGAGCTATCATTTTACATTTAACCCCAACTGCTAACCTATAATGTGATTAACCTAACCACAAAACTACACCCTCAGAAATATTAAACTTCATTAACTCACTTATCATTATGATTTCTCTGAAGTAGATTTCTATTGCCTTCAATACGTTCATTCAAATAATGATTTTCATCTGTTAGCTCTTGTATACGAAATTCTAAATGGGATTGGGTACTGCGATCTTTTTCACTAAATAAAAAAAATGAAATGGATATTATAATGAATTATCACATGTGTTATAGAAATTATTAATTTTTGAAGTAAATAAATGTAAAATTAAAATTTTAATATTATTACTTACAGCAAGGCTTTTAATCGGTTTAATTCTTTACTGTCACCATTAACAGATTCCAAATTTTGGGATTTAAGCTGTTCTATTTCAAGATTTTTTTTACCTAATGTAGATTGTAATACAGAACATTCATTCTTTAGCTCATTGATTTGTTTTTGAATTTTTAATTTTTCACCATCTAATTGATCTGATTCAATCTTATTTTTCGCCTTAAGCTCAGCATTAAGAATATTTTGTTCTTCTATAGTTTTGATCATATCTTTTTTTGACAATTCTAATTGTTCAAATGCAGTTTTATGTTCTGATACTGTTTTTTCCAACTCTTTTTTTAATACTTCCAAATTAGCTACCCGAACTCTCTCTTTGTTTAATTCTTCATTAGCAGATTCTAGTTTTAACATTAATTCTTTTTCAGTATTATTTTCTACAAATTCTTGTAATTGATTTTTCAATATTTCAATTTCTGTATTTTTTTCAGTCAGACAAGTTTCATATCCTATCTTTTCCTTTATTAATTTATCTTCTCCTATTTTTTCAAGCTCCTTAATTTTTTTTTCTCTTTCTTTCACTTTCATTTCTAAGTCAGTTTTAGTCTCTAAAATAATATTATTTAATAGTTCAATCTTTAAATTACTATCCTCGATTGCTTTAGTCTTATTTTCTACATCTTTTTTCAATTCTGTGATCTCATGGTCTTGTTTTTCGCTTATTTTTATTTGTTCATCCAAATTTAACTTAATATTTTCCAAAGTATTTAGTTTCTCAACAAATAGTGAAATTTCTTTATCTTTCTCATCCAATAAAATTTGAGTATTATTTTCCAATATTAATTTTTCTTTAATAAATTTGTCTTCTGTAATTTTTATTCTGTCCACAATATTGTTTTCTTTTTCTTTCAATTTGGTGCTAAATTCTACTTCAGACAACATAATTGTATTACTCAACTGATCGATTTTTGAATTTTTATCATCTATAATTTTTGTTTTGTCTTCAACTACTTTTTTTAATTCCATAAGTACATTTTTTTTAATATGTTCAATTTCATTATTCTTATCATCAAAAGCTGACTGTAATACAGAACATTTATTTTTTAGCTCATTGATTTGTTTTTGAATCTCTAATTTTTCAACATCTAATTGATCTGATTCAATCTTATTTTTTGCCTTAAGCTCAGCATTCAGAATATTTTGTTCTTCTATAGTTTTGATCATATCTTTTTTTGACAATTCTAATTGTTCAAATGCAGTTTTATGTTCTGATACTGTTTTTTCCAACTCTTTTTTTAATACTTCCAAATTAGCTACCCGAACTCTCTCCTTGTTTAATTCTTCATTAGCAGATTCTAGTTTTAACATTAATTCATTTTCAGTATTATTTTCTACAAATTCTTGTAATCGATTTTTCAATATTTCAATTTCTATATTTTTTTCAGTCAGACAAGTTTCATATCCTATTTTTTCCTTTATTAATTTGTCTTCTCCTATTTTCTCAAGCTCCTTAATTTTTTTTTCTCTTTCTTTCACTTTCATTTCTAAGTCGGTTTTAGTCTCTACAATAATATTATTTAATAGTTCAATCTTTAAATTACTATCCTCAATTGCTTTAGTCTTGTTTTCTACATCTTTTTTCAATTCTGTGATCTCATGGTCTTGTTTTTCGCTTATTTTTATTTGTTCATCCAAATTTAACTTAATATTTTCCAAAGTATTTAATTTCTCAACAAAAAGTGAAATTTCCTTATTTTTTTCAGCTAATATAGCTTCATCTCGTTTTTTTTCCAAATTCAATTTCTCTTCATTAGTTTTCAATAGTTCATTGATATGATCTTTTTCTTGTAATTGGGTGTCATATTTGGTTTTGGTTTGCAAGATTAAATTATTCAAATGTTCAATTTTTAAATTTTTTTCTTCGATAATTTTGATTTTTTCTCGGATTATTTCATTTAATTTATTTAAATCCTGTTCACGCAATTCACTTGCCTCTAGTTGTTTCTCAAAAGTTTTTTTCATACTTTCTAAGTCTTCAATTTTTACCTTAAGTTTAGAATGTTCTTTGTCTTTTTCATCTAATATAATCTTAGTTTTCTCTTCTAGTGATAACTTTTCATCTCCAATTTTTAATAATTCTTTAATTTCTTCTTCTTTCTTCTTTAAAATAGCATCATATCTGTTTTTAGTCTGCAGAATTAGATGATCTAACTCTTTGATTTTTATTTGATTATCACCAATTATTTTATCCTTTTCATTAATTAATAGGTTTAAATTTTGAATATCCTGCATGCATACTTCATTTAAAGCCAATTTTTCCTCAAGATTTAATTTTGAATTTTCTAACAAATTTAATTTTTTAATAAGATCTGAATTCTCTAATTTAATTGATTCTTTTTCGAAATTTTTTGATTCCAATTCTTTTTTAAATATTTCTTCATTTGATGTTATTTTCTCATCTAATTGATTAATCTTATCTTGTAATTCTTTTATAGTAAATTGATAATTAGTAGTTTCATTTATTAATTCAGACTGCAAATTGGCATTATTAATATCCTGTTTTTGTTTTTCAGTTAATGTTTGTTCAAGTTTATTGGTTAAACTATTTATTAGTTCATCTTTTGTGGTTAGTTCTAATTGTTGGTGTTTTAATATTTGTTTTTTATCTTCTTCTAACTGCAATACTTTTTTATTAATAATATCCAATTCATTTTGTTTTGATATAGTTAATTCTTTCAAAGATATATTAAGATTTTCTATTAAAATATTATCTTGTATTAATTTATTATCCTTATCTTCTATTATTTTCTCCATTTCTTTCACATAACTTTCATATTTTTCTTCCAACATAGATTTTTCAGACTTAAGACATACAAATTCATCATTTATAATTTTCAGTTTGGTAGTAAGTTCTTTTTCTAATTCATTTCTATTTAATTCCTGTACAGATTCCAAATCATCATATTTTTTTTTTAATTCTGCTAGTAAAGTTGTTTTGTCTTTTACTGATTGTAATGCTGATTTTAATTCTATGTTTACGTTTTGATAAACTTTTTCAAGTTGTTCAAAATTTTCAGAAATGGCATTTAATTTTACTGACAAATTTTTTATTTCATCATCTTTTTCTTTTACTTTATTATTAAAAGTTGTTTCTAACTGAGATTTAGACTTAATTATCTGTGTTTTAATTTTCATTAATGTTATGTTACAAATTTCAATTTGTTTATTTTTTAGTATTAATGATTTATTAAAATCTTTTGATAATTCTTCAATATTAATTAAAGCCAACTGCATTGGTTGCTTAAGAATTTTTTCAAAAGCTTCTTTATTATAAATCAATTGTTTGGCTTTCAATTCTTTTAGTTCTTCAGTAGTTGTATGTAAATTAAGTTTTAATTTTTCAATAATATTTTTTTCAGAATCATTTAAACACATTATATCAGTATGGTTTTTTTGGAGCTGTTCAATTTGACGATTTTTATTTTCCAATTTACTAGCAAGTTCTTGTTCATGCTTATCAATAATTACTTTATATTCATCCTTTAATTTTGATAGCTCATTTTTTAGATTGTTCACAGTATCATCATGTTCTTCATTCTTCAATGCACTTAAACATTTAATACCTTCATTTAATTGGTCGATCATCTCTTGATTTTGTTCAATTTTTTTATCTTTTTCTTCAATTACTTTATTTAAGTGTTCTGTAGTAGCAAATAATTTCTCATTAGCTTCCTTTAATAAGCGATCATGTGTTTGAGAATTTTCATTCAATGTTTGACGTAAAATGTTTAAATGTGTTTCTTTGTCAACTACTTCTGAACTTAAGTTGGACACAGATTTTTGCAATTCATCTTCATTATTATCAATTACTTTTTTAAGAGATTCCAACTCCTCTTTTATTCTACATAATTCTTCTTCCTTTTCAAAAATTTTCATTGTCTCTTTTTCAACATCTTTAGTTAAATTTCTTTCTTTGTCTAAGTCATATTTTAGTTCTTTAATCTTTATCAAAAGTTCAGTGTTTTTATTTTGTAGTTCAATATTGACAACATTCTGTTCTTCATTGGTGAACTGCAAATTTTGAACTTTTTCTTTTTCTTCGTCCATTTGTTTCTGCATAATATTTAATTGTTGTTTTAGCAGATTTATATTATTAATTTGAGTTTCAGATGACTTATCAACTTGAACCTTTAAAAATATGATAAATAAAATAATTAACAACATAAAGATAAAATATGTTTAGTGTAAAAATTTACTTTTAATATTTCTTCCAATTTTTTTTCAGCAACATCTGCTTGATTTGCTGCTTTAGTAACTTGCGAACGAAGAAGTTCATTTTCCTTTTTCATTTGAGTTAATTGTAATTTCAATCGATCTAAATCTGATATTTTGACTTGCTGCAATTCAATTTTTTCTTTTTTATTAAAAAAGTATTTGAATATTCAAGGCAAAATGTATTATATTTTATACAAATAATTATTACAATATTCTGATAATAATACACAAGCATTAAAATTATTTATTTTATTTTATTAAATACACTAAATATTTTTCAAAATAATAATTTATTAGAATTATTATAAATAAATTAAATATTTATTATAATAATTGAGAAACAATGGCAGCATTTTCAAAATTTAACACCTATATTTAATGAAACTATAGCTAAGGAGATTTATGTTTACAATGAAACTTCACTATCAGACAAATAAGTCAGGCAGATCATTTACTGTACATTAATTTATATTTTATTTATTTTTAGAGTTAATTTGGTAATGATTAGCTATTATAGATATTAAAGTTTAAATTTTTAACATTAATTAAATGTTTTATTACTTTATTAGAGTCTCAATGTTGTTTCTATTTAATTTATCATAATATTTTATATATCCATATTTTTATTTTTAAAAGTTATAATATTTTATCATTACATTTGATTTTGTATGAATTCCATTCAACTGAAAATGTAAATAGAAAAATTAAGTGGATATTTTATATTTATTAATTAATATTATAGTACAATAGATATAAAGCTCTAAAAGTATTGTGAATTTGAATGATCTTCAAATATTTTATAAGTAAAATCAATAAAAATTAATAGCACTTGCAAACTATGAACTGATGATGCCAAGGAAATAATTTATAATTAAGTATAGTTGGATAACTTGAATAGAGTATAATGTAATCTATACATATAAGCAATTACTAGAAAAAGTTAATTTTACAAAAAAAATATGCCAAGAAATATTAGAATATAGTAAAACATTTCTGAATTTATTTAAGTTTTATTTAAATTAAAATCACTATTTATACTTAATATTTTATAAATAAATATTTATTTTACACAGTTTATTTATTATTACAGTTAATCATTGTAAGTATAGTAAAATTAAGGTTGAATAATAAAACTTCAACTATGTTATAATAGCAGTTTTTTTTCTTTATGAATGTTATATTTATATTTTGTAATATTGTATAATATATAACAAAATAGTTTAATTTTTTTTTTTTATAATACTTACCTATTTTTACTTTTAGGTTATTTTTTTCCAATCCAAAGAATTAAAAGAACATTCATTAGTATAAAAATGCATATAACAAGAAAGCTGATTTTCATACAGTATTTTCCACTGTTGTATTTTTATGTTTAATCTTAATTAAAACTTTTTTGGAAGGAAATTTAAGAAATACAAAAAAAAAAGTCTCTAAACAATTTCTACATAATTTTGAAGTTAACTATATTTACTGCTAGCAAGACCCAAAAACGATTCATTTAGTTTATTGGTACTAAACTTTATCAGATATATATTTTTAATTTAACCATAATTTTTTTGTGTATTAAGATAATAAAATATTTCATAGCATGCTTGGAGAATTGTATTTAATAATATATTTTTAATAATTTATTATAAAAATAATAATTTTGCCAGCCATGAAAAGTATTAATAATAAAACTGTATTTGCTTATATTTTAATATAAACAATACAAATGAAAATACATTTTTTATAAAATTAACCATGTCAGCAAATATATATGTTATCATGTTTCATTCAAATTTATATTAATGTTCAAAATACAGAGTGATCGAGAAGTCGAGCACATCAAAATAAATGTATTTTATAGTATTTTTATCGAATTACTTATCCATTTATTAATAAGTAAAAATACAAAAAAATATTCAAAATTAATTTATACATATGCATTATCCATGTTTTACATTATATACTCAAAATGGCTACGTTGTTCATTAATGAATGCACGAACACGTTTTACCACATTTGTAGCGTATAATCTCCAAAGGATTTTGGCTCTTCCGTTCTCCAGATTTCTTTCTATGGAGTAATCTTAAAGGAAGGGTTTATTAAAATAGACCACAAACTTTGAATGAACTGAAGAGTAACATAAAAATATTATTTACAAACACATTTATTTTGATTTTCACTACCTCAATCATTCTGTATAAGTAATAATATTACAACATCAAAAACTTAATTCCATTGATCCACACTATATAAATAGACTACAGCAGCTTAGTAAATCTATTTATCAATTATATAATCATTGCAAATATTTAGTTTTGTAAATTATTTCAAAAATAATATGAAGTATAATATATAATAAATAAAAATTACACACACTGTATTTAATTGTATAAATAAAAATATTTTTAAGTGGATTGATTTAACGGAAAACATTTGTTAGTTATTTTAGGTAATTTTCCATACTAAATATTTTTAAAAATCTAAACTGTAAGTTTAATTACATACAGATTCCCCAACACAAAAATATTTATTTTTTAATAACATTTTATTTTTTTTATGTATTAATAAATATACAATATATTATCCACAAATATTAAATTAAATTAAATTTCTTATATAAGCCAACTGGTTGGTATTGATATTAAAATATATTTAAATACTTAAAATTTACAGGGAATTTGGGAAGTACTCATTAATACATTTTTCATTACTTTGTATAATTTTTCTTCTAGTTTACTAATTTCTATTTATTAACAAAGAACCTTAAATAAATCAATGAAAAAATTCAGAATGAAGCTTAAAATCTTAATGAATCAGTCAAATAAAAACTATTTTAAAAACAGATTTATAAGGATAATAAAGTTAAAAGCAAGGAAAAAAATTAAATCGAACGCATGACTTTATGAATTAATGGACTGAAAACATATACATAACAAGATATAATGGTAATTCAAAATCATCTAAACATGCTATACCAAGAGCAGTATGAAGGATTATTATAAAAAATCCACAAGGATTTTTGGGCAGGATAAATGAATAAAATACAAATAAAAAATATCATTACTCAGTAAAAAATTAACATTATAAAATAAAAAAAATTAACATAACAGAAACAAAAAAAAAAAAATACAACAAACTATAAAATTAGATATAACGTTAGAAAGTCTAATAAAAATGTCGAACAATATATTAAGATTACATTGTTTATAATTTGATTAAATGATTATTTTGTAGTGCTTTAATTAATATTGCAAACCTTGATGTTTAAAAGTAAACAAACATATTGCATTAGTGTTTATATCAAAAATCAATAATATGTTTTAATAAAAACCAGATTCCCACTGTCGATGATAGGTTTTCACATATTTCACATCGGACTAGAAATTTTAAAAATATATTTAATATATATGCAATATAATACAATTAGTTGTAAATTTTATTTTTAATTAAAATTAATTCTGCACTACTTACCCAGATTTAATTATTTAATACCATTTAAAATTTAAAATTATTCATTATTATTATGTATATTATTTCATATAATTAATTTTCCTTCACCATTTAAATAAAAATAATACCAAAAACCATAAAATATTTTAGAATTATAGATTATAAATCATTTTATTATACTGTGAATTATTTCTTATATTAAGAACATTGTCTACATTATTCAAGTGAATTATTAAATTAACATTATATTCTACTTCATGTATCATTTCCAAATACTTTAATAAAATATCTGTTTAGTTATTATTAACATTATAAATCAGTTTTTTTTAATTAAGAAATAGAACTTACCTTAGTGTTGACTATAAGTCTATCAATTAGTTTACACTGAATTAATAATTATTATTTATATAAATTATAAGCAGTATAAAATCAAATATAAAAAGAAATTTAATGTTATTACTTTATTAGTAATAACTATATACCATAAGTTATATCATACATGCATGGTTAAATTAAAACTACATTTCAAATTTGTATTACTTTATCAATTAATTTCTGTACTTAAGTTTTTTCTATGTTGAAAGCATTTCATATAAAATAGAACAGTTTAGACAAAATAAAATCAAATAAATAATAATTAAAAATATTAATATAAAGTTTAAAAAAGAAAAAAAAATATGGATAATCCTAAATTGACTATGAAGCTTAAAGAAAATTTGATCTTGATCATTGATCAATTATTGATATCAATTAATTAATAGATTATTTTGCAATAAACTATTAAAATACAACTTTTAACGACAACAATTTCAGAATTATTTTTGAAATAAAAAGTTATCTAACTGAAATTTGAATAAGGTTTAACTAATTTTAGAATGAATAATTAGGTACATTTTTGAATTAATAAGAATATAATTTTTGCATTATAACAACATAAATCTAGTACAATTTATATGTTGCTAATATTTTTTTATATAGCTCAAAAAACATTTAATATAACATATTAATTAATGATTAGAAGCAATTAATAGTCATGCAAAATACCTTGCGGCCTAAAGAAGCAACTCCAAGTCTTACCCGAGATGGTATTGATGACATTGTGTTTGATGTAATAGTACTGATCATGGATCCATTCAAAGAATCCGGTGATCGTTTTGCTTTGTGAATAGCACAATTTGTCGACATTCGACTAGATGACATAGGTGATTTTGATACTTTAGCAATAGGAGTAAATAAACCAAATTTATCTTCACACTCAAAATATCTAAATAACATTACGTTAAGTAAAAAGTTAAATTTTATATAAAGCAACTAATTACTTTATTCCTTCTACAGTTCCATTATTTTTTCCAAGTGGATCATCTAATTCAATACCACACCATTCTCCAGGTGCAAATTGGGTTGCACCACGATACTTTAGAATACCTAATTTAGAACCTTGACCACTGCTAATAATTACACGGTCACCGATTTTTAAATCACTGGTACTCTTGGATACAGTTGATTGAGTAATACCTTTATGACAATAAACATTTAAAAATAGTATTAATATTTGATTAAATAATTCACTTTTTAAGAAAAAAACTTTAAAAAAAAAAATAATAGAGTTTAAATTTGAAAAAATATTTATTTTTATTTTTATTATATAACATTAACTCCAAAAGTTATATGTTATCAGTACTATATATGTTTTATTGAGTTTTATATTTTGATTTGATTAAGATAGGATTTTTTTTCTTTTTTCTAAATAATTCAATTGACACATAAAGAAATTTATTTCTGGTCCCAATTCAATTTAGACAGTGTTCACAAAAAGTTGTATACCATTTATAACCTATTTTAAATTTAAATAATAGTAAAATGTATTGATATCAACTGTAAATAAATAACAATTTTAAAAACATAAAAAATAGAATTTTAATTTTAGGTAGTTAAAAGTTTTAAAAATAAAATGTACCCAATAAAAATGTCAGATAATTTAAATCTTAGTATTTCTCTGAAGTAAAAATTCTCAAAAACTACTAATTAAATCTATTTATTAAATTCAAAGACATCTCCCCACAACATTGTAATATAAAATGTACTCCTAAATTGATTTATGTAATCAAAATGTAATTAGTTTATATTATTGATTATTTTTGTTTAATATACAACTATCTTGAAAAAATTCATACTTATTAATTAAAAAATAAACCGTTTTAAATATGTAATAATTCAAATGTCTGAATGGATTTAGTAGCAACAAATATAAAACAAATTACATTCTTGATAGCTTCATACATTTTAAACATTTTTAAAAATAAATCAGTTAAATACCATTTCCACAAAAATATATTTATCACTATGGAACAGTTTTACAAGTTAATATTGCCAAAATATTTATTATATTTTTTTTTAAATTATTAGGTTGGTTAAAATCAGGATAAAATTGAAATATATATTTTGTGTTGACAAATTCTTTGTATGTAAACAGGGTATTTTAGTTGTACCTTTTGTTGAAGGTTTTATTGTAGTTACAGTTGAAGTTTCTCGTTTTGGCATAGGAGTTGAAAATCCTAATGGTTTAGCTTTAGAAAATGAACTTTGAATCATTGAATCTTCAATAGAACTCAAAGGAGCAGAGGTTAGATTAGTCAAACGTGCAAATATACCTCTTTTAGGTTCGCATTGAAAATACCTTGTGCCACTTACAGACCCATCATTTTTACCTAAACAATTATAATTTTATTAAAACCCATATAGCTAATATGCATATTTCAACTAATACCAATTGGCTCATCAAGAACTATGCCAGCCCAATCACCACTTCCAAAATTAGTCTCGCCTATGTAGGCAATTTGGCCTGGTTTAGTACCACCCACCCAAATTCGATTACCAATTATGAATTTGTCTGTATCTTCGGTAAGAACAACACTATTTCCTAGAAAAAAAAATAAAAAAAATTTATAAAATAATCATGCACATATTATATTGAATTGTTGTAATATATTTTATTAGTCTCGTTCTTATAATAAAATAAAAAGATGTATAAATAGGTAATGAATCTAATATGAAGATGACAAAACAAACCTGAACTACGTCTTATACCAGCTTCACTAAGTCTACGAGCATCTCCCATGAAAGATTCTGAACCGCCTAATATAAAAGCAATAAAAAACTAAACTACAAATATTTTTTTTAACAAGATGAATAACTAAAAAGCAACTTACTCGATGATTTACGCTCATCTAATGGTTTTTTATTAAAACCATCATTGTATTTATGACTGTGTGGCAAGTCTAGTATATCGAAAACAAAAAAGCGACATGCAAGTAATAAATAAATATTAAAAGTATTTATTATTAATATTATTAATTTGAAAATGATAATCTAACATCAAAAGCATATCACATTTCAATTCAAACACATGTTAATAAAATCATTTATTCCTTATACCCAAGTGTAGCATTCACTTTAATACCTATAAAAATAACCGGAAAGAAAAAGTGGTAAAATGTATCTGCTAAGTCCTTCTTAGATGAGTAATATTAACCAAGAATAACATGCTACTAAATTTCTAAACATACTAGTTAAAACACAAGATTTTCATTTAATTAAGTGTTTTAATTACAAAAGTAGGTTAATAATTAAGTTTAAAGTCCTTAAACCGTAATAAGTTATAAGATCTAATATGTTTTTAAAGGTTATTGTTAAAGGGGATGGGGAAATCAAAAATATAATATTCACCAGAACATTTTTTTTGGCACCATTGAATATAAAACAAATCAAGACAAGCAAATAAATAAAATAAATTTAACAAAAAAAAAGTAAAAAAACAGCTAAAATACATAAAAAATCTACAAACTAATAAAGCAAGGGTACCAAATTATTTTTATACATACTATAATTATTAATAAACAAATAAATATGACAAGTAACAATTGTATGAACGACAAAAATCTTGTCAATTTACAACTTACAACTATTATTATCGTCATTTTATTTTACTGTAGAACCCCCATCTAATTTGGTTACGATAGAGTTTACTCCATCTGAAATGACATGGTATTATTTTTAATAGTTATAAATTAACTATCAATAATAAAAAAAAAAATGTTGGGATTGTAATTAAATATCTAAAAAACATAAGTACAAAAAATAATGGAAAAACAATTGATCCAAAATCAACTAAATAGTCAATATAAAACTGTTTAATATTTTTTTCTTTCAGAGTATTATTAATTAATTTAAATTTTTACAAATAGGTCATACGATTAAAATCACCCACCAAACGAAGCAAATGTAGGTGTAATGCACGTCTAACGTGGGACGACGTTCTACGTTTTGCGTGTTTATTTAAATAACAGGATATAAACATATAAATCATGTCCTGACTTAAATACTTCAACCATAAGGGATGAGGTAATATATATTGGATTTATACATATAAATATATATAATAACATAATAATAAGTGTATGTAACATTACACTAAGCATTTTCATTAATTTTACAGACATTATTTTGAAAATACGTAATTATTTATATTATTTTATATATTTATATACATTTCAGATTTAAAGTAAATAAAAAAAATATAGAAAGTTTTGAAATAGTTAAGAACTTTAAATCATTGATAATAATTCATTATACACAAGACCACGCGTGATTTTATAATTGAAGTTGGTGCTTTCTAATTTGAAATATACGAGTATACAATTTTAAACTTTAAACTATAAATTATAATTATGTGTATTTTCTATTTTAAATAAAAATCGTATTAATATATTAATTATCATTATTTATATTTAAGCACATTGTTATATAGTAATTAAGCACCTATAGATAATAATAAGACCATATAAATGTATATAAAATGGTAAAATGAATGATATATTTTTGGTAAAATTGTGACTAGATGATTATAATTTAAATAAATTATTAATAAAAAACTTTTATAAAATATAAGAAATAATATAATTCTACCATCTGCTCGGCAGAATAGATCCAAATGTCTTGGTATAATTTTTTCTTCGACTACAGGATTAGGCATCTTATATAATACTGATATAGTACACTAAACTGAACTGTCCGAATATTTACAAACAACTGACTATAGATCAACAAGTGATGACCACAACCTTGTAAGCACAGGTGTACAGTAGGTCGCCTACAAACTTTTTTCTACTGTGAAGGTGTTACAGGAGTGGTCCCCCTTCCAGGATATTGACGTGTATTTATACACACATCCAAACTCAATATATCATTGCACTATACATTTCAACATATCCTGTAATAACTTTAAAGCTTATACCACATATAGTAAACCAAAATAAAAACCGTAATTTCGGAAATTCTATAACTAATATAAATTATAATAGCAAATCTGATTTAGAATAAAAATCAGACATTTTTCATTGTTCAGTAGATTTGAAAATTATAATTTGATGACTTAAGAGACAGTCATTGAATTTAAAATTGACTTACCAAGTTTAATGGAAGACGAACTGGGTAACCTCGACACTCCCATTGTAGGTATTTTTGTTGGTTGCCGTAATCCAGACGTCTTCGTTTCCTTATTTTCGGGATTTTCACTCATTTTTAATAATTTTAACTAACAATTATAAATTTACTTTAAATTAAATCACGATAAACTATAGGCTGAATAAATTAAAACACGGATATAATTAGAACAATATAAACGAAACATAATTTAATTTACTGAAAAATATATAAAGTAAAATATCTGTAAATAGATACCTAATTTTATTGAATAATGCACTGTAAACCTGAAAAAAAAATTATTTAAGACTAAAGAAATAAATACTTGTAATTAAATAAATAATTTTCATCTATGAATAAAGAAAAAAAAGTGACTCTAAATAATTTAGTACACAAATATTTAAATAAATAAGATATCCATTTTCACATTATCTTAAGACATAATTTTACGTGTGATTTTGGAAGGAAAAAAGTATTAAAATAAAAATATTTGGCAAAATTAACTGGATTAAGTGCCAATTTTTATCTATATTTATATGGTCAATTTGATATACAGTCTTATATTGATATGCTTATGATATAATATTACTAAAAAACAAGACAAATAGTAATAAACAATAGTTATAACTAGAGTTCGGATGATAATCATCAACATTTTATTAAAAATTGTCTAATTATAGAATATATAAATATAGAAAATATACCTATTTTTAACAAATATATATATAAAAAAAAGATAAATATTAATTGAAAATAAACTATGTATATACTATTATAAATGTGAATTTAAAATAACTTAAAATATACACATATAAACATAAAATATGAAAAAAGTAGACATAGAAACATAAAATTTATATAATTTTAAGAAATCAAAATTGACTACATTATATAATAATAACAATAAATACGATTTTACTGATTGACTTTACAAATTTAAGTTCTTTAACGGACTAACAGAATATTTTTATAAATACAAAACAACTACACCACTTCTATTGAGCTAATGGGAACGCACTTAAAGTTAACCATTATAACTCGTATATAAATATTAAATACAACTAACGATAGTTGATGAAAAATGTTAATAATATGAAAAATATTTATATTATATTTATAATTTATAATCTAGAAATAATCAATAAAGGTATTTTTATTTATATGCTTAAAAAAATCAAACATACAATTATATGCAAAATAAGTTTGTTCATTTGGAATCTAGATTTCGTGAATAGGATTTATATTATATTCTGGTATTAATAGCTACGCCAAAAAAAATATGCTAAGTCATAAACATCCAGGCTTTAGCTATAACTTATAAAATCGAGTATCTCACATTTTAATACTATATTGATACACACCTACACAATACAGTATATACCTATAAATTATAACTATTAATAAACATATAAACTTTAATCACTTTAAAATCAATCATTCAAATTTATTTAAGCTTAAAATAGATATAAAAGCATTTTTTTCATCAAATTCCTAAAAAACTTTTTTATTGATAACAGTATATAAATATAAACGGCTGATTCTAATATATTATTTTGCATTTTATATGAAACTAGCTGACCCGACAAACGTTGTTTTGTCATATAAATTATTTCTAGAGAATATTTTGATACAAAAAAATAACTAATTTAATATAGGCATGTAAGAATGTGGATAAGGATAAGGATGTAAGGAAGAGGTATGGAATGCAAGAGTTGGGCGTTATTCGAATGATTTTTTTCACAATTATTCCAATAAATTCTAATTTTCAAATACAATTATTCGAATAATTTAAAAATATTATATAATAAAAAACAAATATAGATTTATATAAGAAAGTAAAGAAATAAATAAATATATATATATATATATATATATTTAATAATAATTAAATAATATTTGAATATGAATAATATTTTATAATAATATTTCGTAAAAATAATATAACAATCATAAATAGTAGTAAATAATAATAACAAAAATGTCAATAAATTATTTTAGTAAAAATGAAAATAAATAAATATAAAAAATATTTGATTTCAATAAATAAGTCTAACAATACTAAATAACTAATTATAATTATAATTCAAATAATAATAAATAACTTAAATATTTATAACTGCATTTTTAAATTAAATTTAAAAATAACACTCTCTTCAAACATATCATCTGATAGCTTGTTGGATTTTGGTAAATTGGTCATAGTTGCATAAGAAAATAATCTTTCAACAGGAGCTGATGACGGTAGTGGCGTATTATATCATAAAAATATATCCTCGATTGACTGTTGTGTTGAAATTGTTGAATCTTCATTATGTACATTCACGGAAATCATATTGAAATAAATTGATATTTTAAATTAAATTAAACACCCTGTCACGCATTCATACACTCGCGGACTCGCGCATAGAAGAACTAACGCGGCAAATACGACACAAGTTAGATAATCTACATTTGATGTACTTTTGATAAAACCACGTCTTCAATGTTTAGATATCATAAATTCAAACAGATAATTTTTATAGCTACATGCCCATATCTATCTAGTATCTTTATATTTTTGTGTAGAGCTCTATATATTTGAACTTATAAATATGAAATACAACATTGAACATACGTAGTTAGTACATAGTACCAAAATATCTGAGACTATATAATATAGTACAGAAACTGGACTAAATTAGATATAATAATAACATTTTCAATATTCATAATTAATTACTATTAAGGTACATACTAAATACATGTAGATAAACTAGAAGAATTATAATCATTATTTTAAATACATATTTAGTAATTAGTACTAACTACTACTATATATACTAGGATAGGATAACTATGTTTAAAAATTATTCAAATAATATTATAATCACAAATTATTCCGATAATATTGTTTCTAAACTAGTCGAATATTTTTTTATTCGAATAATTATCGTATAATATTATCTAGATCAAATTTTGCCTAACGCCGTGGAATGCTGTGAACGATGACAAAATATAAAAATGAAAAAACATCAAACATTTTTTTTTTAATAATATATTGAAATTGATCCATTAAAATTATATATATTGCTAATTATGACAATATTAATAAAAAACAATATCTATCCCTTAATACAACAGAGTGTACAATATTTTTTGTTATCCTATCTTTCGCCAACACAAACTGAATAGTTCGAGAGCACGCCACGTCCGTGTCAAAAATATGATGTGCTCAAATCTAAACCACAGACAGACATCGTTTGGCCAAGAGACTTATTGATAGTCATTGCAAATGCCAATCTAATTGGAAATTGAAGGCGTTTAAATTGTATTGGTACATCTGTGGGTATAATAGGGATTCGCGGTAATAATATATTTTCACCTCAGAATTTGCCATTTAAAATTATGGCTTCGATAACATTTTTCATTAGGTAATTTTTTAACGACTTATCGCGTGCCGTTGTACAACCGTGGTGGGTCAAATTACAAAGCAAAATAACCGGAGATCAAACCTTCAATTTTAAATTATGCGGTGGCATGCCTGGTAAATCCAATGAGTTTAAACACTGTTAGATAATTTACAGCTTGAGTAGCATTGCAAACTGTATCAATATATTTGAATGACACCCAGTCTCCTGGTAACAAATATTGTATCTTGAGATTCAATTCGTTGACGTCCACATTTTTTGCTACTATAATTGCTCTTTCTGCCAGCCACTCATGATTTGTGTATTGTCTGTGTACATTGGGAAATATCTGGTCAATGAGAGCATCTTGCGAATAAATTATTTTGCAGAAATCGGCCAGTAATTGTATACATCCCGTTTCATCTGTAATAACTTTCCCATCTCCAATATCAAACAACTGTTTTGAGAATCTTCCGCACGAAGCTTTTTTTGATTGAATCACATGTATCGAAATCGTTCGTTCTCTATCTTTACATACATTTTGATCATGAATTGTTGATAAAGCTCATGACATCGTAGAATAACTTTGACCTGATCGTGTCTAATCATCAACAGATATGCATAATAATTCTTCGAACTAACATCCTTATTTGTTTTGGCACCTGTTGTAGGATCTAGTTATTTAATATTTATCCAATACCCGTCATTTAATACCAAATATAAAATTAATAGTTTTTTAATAGTTTTATTTAATAATTCATTTTCAATTGCGCAGTTATCGACCTGGTCAAAAATTATTAAATTAAACTATGATTTATTAAACAATAGCACTTTTCCAAATTTTTTTTTTTCATAAAGACCTTCTCCAGGCAATTACGAACAATTAAAAAAAATTTGAGCCAAATAGGCCCAGCCGTTCTCAATTGATGAAATGTTATACATTTTTGGCTCAATTTTTATATATATAGATATTTTTAAAATATTTAAATAAAATGGCGATTTCTAGATTATAAAGTAATTATCTACAAAATAATACAATACATTTTTTTTATCAATTTATAATCTAAATACTGAAACTTATGGTATCTGAGGTTTTTAATTTACGATTTTAAGTGAAGCAAGATAAGTCTGTATTAGTGTCAATACAGTTTCGAAAAAATGGAAGACTATCAATAGGAATGGTGGTATCTAAAAGGAAAATTATTTTAATTGGTAAGTAAAAAGGGTCAGAAGTCACCTGTCCTTGTGTCTCGCCCAACACTTGTATCTCAGCCTTTAAACATTTATATAGTATATTGTAGTTATCAATTGAGGTAGGTTCATAAAGGTGGTTTGAATATCAATGTAGTTTATTGTTGATTCAAACTGTAATAATTATTCAAGTTTAAAATGTTTTCAAATGACATATCTAAGATATACATATATATATATATTTTTTGCTTATTCAGACCCATTGCCGCTTCCAATATGCCTCGCCATGCCTTTCTATCTAATGCTCTTGTTTCTTCAATCCTGATTCCTAGGAGTTTCAGATCGTCTTTGACACGATCACTCCACCACTGTCTTGGTCGTCCTATTGGTATTTTTCGATCTGCCATCCACATTATGACCTCGTTTACTAATCTATCCTTCGTTCTCCATACACGTCCTGCCCAGCTAAATCTTTGGATTTTTAGAAAACTTACTATTTCGGTTTAATTTAACAGTACTTTTAGTTCTGCGTTCATTCTTCTTTCGTAAAGTTCGTACATTCAGTTTTCTGTATTTTTTTTAGTACCGAACATTCTCCTTAATATTTTCCTCTCAAAAATCATTAGCTTCTTCTCGTCTTTCTTTGTTAACGCCCATGATCCACATGCATATAATACAATAGATCTGACTAGAGTTTTGTATAGCATAAT